CATTTACCTCAGTCTATTTGTGCAAAGGGACACCAAGGAACACAAGGAGCGCCCTTGTCATACATTCTCCCACATTTCCCCCTGAATGGTCAAAGGACAATATCGTACACGGTATGCAAAGGGCCTTCTGCCTTGACCCAGAGTCGGCCTACTGTTGCTTCAGTTAAATGAGACGAAGTTCGGACGTAGCCACGACCCATGAGATTGTGCTAGTTGTTTGGCATAGCACATGTGGGGAAGCTGTCTCCAACATCAAGATTTGACCTTCGTTGGTGCCGTGGGTGAATCATGCAGGATTGCTTTCAATGTATAGTATAGGTCAAATGAGGTCAACATATCGAAACAAATCCTCTTAGCTTGGCGGAAGTTGAAAGTGAACAAACCAAAGGTGATTGGAGGATCCTCAATCCTATTGACACACAGCCCGCGCCGGACCCGCACAGATTCGTTGCACACAGACACAGTTTTCAGCCACGGTCCCATCCACAATCCACATACCACCAGACTAGTGACCAGGCATTGCTGTGGTGGTTACTTGTTCCCTGGCCATTCCTGGATTCCTTGCAGGGTTTGTCTCGTTTGTCTCCAGGCAGGAGCATTTACGTTTTTTCCGAACAGTGCTGGGTTTCATGAAGAGACAATCCTCACCCCCTCAAAAATGGAACTGGGGGAGGGGGTGACCCCTGGAGATCTCCATTTGAGCAGCGCCATAAACCCTGACAATACAAAGTAGTAAAGGGGGGTGTCCTATAGAATCCCCGCGAAAGCCAAAACCCAGGCCGCGAAAGCTGGCGAAAGCTTATCGCGAAAGTAACCAAAGAAGGTCCCGCCGCGAAAGACCCGCGAAAGCCTGCATGCTGTGTGGCAGTCCGCCGCGAAAGCGTCGCGAAAGCAATTCTAAAGAAAACAAAGCTCGCGAAAGCAAAACATGGGGTCGCGAAAGCATCGCGAAAGGGTCCGCGTAAGCAAGTTCATAGGACCGCTTTTTACACAAGAGTATTTGGCACGGCTCATTTGTGGTTCCATTTTCCCTTTCATGGGGAAGACTATATAAATGGAATTGGGGAACCCCCACCCCCCTGCCCCTTAAGGTAGGGGGATAAGAGACACCTTTCTTTTCAAAGGTTCCGGGCTCCCTGCCCTAAGCCTCCGGCTCCTGTTCCGAGAGTGGTCTCAGCGAAGACTTTGCAAAACACCGGGAGTGGGGGAGGGGGGGTTAGAATCCAATCATATATCCGGTGTTTGATGTGATGGCAAACACAGCAGATGTGTGGAATATGGGTTTTAACCTCCGAGTCAAAGGGTTGTCATGGGACGCATGAAACATTCCAGAAGCCGCAGACCCATTTGAAGGGACATTATATAGCTGGCATTCCTTTGAAACTCAAGCACCAACCAAAGGGTTCATGCCAGCCCACAGAACATCCATCCGCGTAGGTGTCCTTGGGTGAGTTGCTTAGAAATAGATGGGCTCCACTGGTTTCTGAATAGTTTTATCCGACATTTACCAGGCAGCTACTGTGGGTGGACGACCTGCACCACTTGTAGATGCAACCATACAAATACAGGGACAGCACCCATCCACCGGGCCATTGTGGGATTTCCAGGGTTTATCCCCCACTTCTGTGTTACATTTTCAAAAAAAGTCTCCTTTCTATGGGGGCTTAGTCTTTGGGCAGCCCTTTTTGGGCGTGGCTCAAAAATAAAGAGCTAGGGACAAGCGCATCTTTGAGTCTTTTCCATTTACCAAAGGGAGATTTTGGTACACATGTTTGACCCACAGCCTCCGTATCACTTCGTGGGATTCCCACAGCCCACAGAGCGGAGCCGCTTTTCCACGCCAGACGCCGGCGTTGGTGGAGAACCTCAAGGTGGCCACCACCCAGGCGACGCTGCCCGCCAGCGCCCTGCCAGGCGCGTCGCGGCCGGTCGCGCGCTCGGTGCTTGCCTTAAGGGGACACCGAAAGGAGAACCGCGGCCCCCCCCGGTCGACCCGTCTTTCCGTGGTTTTTAAAGGGACACCAAAAGGAACACCATTTTTGGGAGGTCCCCTAAAAAGAGAAGCTTGTTCTTTTTTGAGCCTCGGTACCCCGTGTTTTCGAGGGTGTTGAAGGGAAACCCATCAGGAGAACCGCTTTTAGCAATTTTTTGGGGGCCCGAATTCTAAAAAGAGGTGGCCCCGTGTAGAAACTAGTTGGACCCTCCATGGTCGGATTCCTTGAGGTGTGCTTTTCAAAAGCCGTGAGCAAGTCCCTACCTTTGATACCTACCCAAGTGAATGAACTCAGTTGGGCTATTGGGGGTTACTCTTTAGGATGTTGCCCTCCTTCTACTCATGTGATTGAGAGCCAAGAATCATACAATTATTTGGGGTGCCCCCCCCGAGGGGTGCCCCCCTCTCGGCCCCAGAGCCAGGCGGTATGCGTTTACCACTCTCTCTTTGAAAAACATGCTGCTTGCGAGAAAACCTGTAGTCAAACAGGAAGCACTTCGCTTGATTTTCAATTTTGCCCGGCCTAAACGACAGGAAACGCATATCACGGGGGGGCCCCAACCCAGTCTCACTGGACTTTTCATGTTTCCAAAAGCGAAGAATCAAGCGCACGGGCACCAAAACCATTTCTACACGATTCAAGAAGGTCCATTTACTGTTTTGAAGGAAGACTGCGCACCCTCCCCGTGTACAGGGGGGGGTGCCCCCCCCCCTGTTAGCTTGCTAATACAGACTTTTCAAACTCCGCTTCGCTGCGTGGCTGTGTTACACAGTGTACAGGCCAAAACTGTGTGGGCCAATTTTGCGGTGCGAACGTGCTAACAGAACCAAATAACAAACAGCTTGCTATTAGCGTGTTATTAGCAGTACTTCCACTCCGCGCTAATAGTTTGCTATTAGCAAGCAAATAGCCCGCAAATAGAAGCTTGTTGGTGTGCCTGTGAAACGCACAGGAGGGGGGCACCCCTGGAGGGGGGCACCCCAAATAATTGTATGAAAGAAGTTAGCTTTGCTCGGTTTGTTTGTCACAGTTTTATGGCTGTCAATGTCATGTTGCTACTTGAAGCAGCGAAGAACTCGCTCGCTAAGTGCTCTCGTGCAGTGGTCAGGCATTTGTTTACTGATTGGCTTGCTGATATAGAATCACTTGAGGGTTGGCATATTTGACACCTGCGATGTGACAATGGAGATGAGGATTCACTGGCCATTCTCCAGCAATACAAAAGTGCTTCCAGAATCCACGAATTGCAGCGGATCCACTTCGATACATGCCTTGTGCGTTGATCCCCAACGCGCGGGGGCAACTGCTAGTTACGCGTTTTGATTGGCACCTTTAGCCAAACCTGTCAGATGACGACATGTGCATGCTGGTTTCGCGAGCGCCCTGAGGCCGATGATACTCTGACAGACTTGCACATGTCATGCTTGCATGCATGTATATTTGCATGCATACAGTTATGCACCAGTTGGGAGGAGCCCCCGGGTTCACTCATGAAGGTCGACTCCTTACTTCGAGATTCCTTCATTCCGCTTGGTGAACATTTTGGTGTTCAGTGCAGACAAGTACGTAGCACAACATTGCAACAGACAACATCTACCAACAATACTCACGCATGACACTACACGGCGCTACACCACACAGCACTACATTGCATCACAGTGCGTCGCGTTGCATTGAATACTGCACTATGTGCCACACCGTGCTGTATGTCAGACCATACCAATTATACCATACTTGCCTAATTCTGCCTCAAACTCAAAAGGTAGACAACATGCAGAAAGGAAGAGCTGCCTGTGGCTGGTCGCTGATTGCGCATCTCACTTTTGGTGAGGCATCCTGAGTAGGAAAGTGTGTCACCGTTGGCATCGTAATTGTACAGGCCAGACAGCAATGGCCGTGTCTTCCTTTGGCCGCTGCAGGAATCCGGCTTGTTAGCGGCCGCGCCCGTAGGTCTCAACGTCGAGGTGGGCGAGCCTGAAGTGGGCAGTCGGGACAGCCAGACATGTTTGAATGATGATCCCGGGACTGTGGAGTTGATTTGCAGTTTCGCGCTGGAACTCGGCAATTTTCAGACAGACGTCCCAAATGGCAGCTTTTTCTGGTTCAATTGGGCAGCTCCGAAAACGGAGGTTTCGTCTTTGGCATGAGAACACGGATGTCACCTCCTGTAAGGGAAACCACCCTAAAAATGATCCGCCTGGAACGATTAAAACAGCTGGAGCGCGCTCTGGTGGGTTCTAATGAATGGGTTCCAATTCGGATGCTCCAAGACTTTGGGAATTCATTCGGAACCTTAGGACACGGCCTATGTTTGCTTATGTTTTGAGCATATTTCCACATGTGAGTAGCCCTACGCCCAGATTCCCATCCGGCGCTCGGGCATGGGCCACAGTTTCTTCGGTTGGTCTACTCCTCTCACTGCCGTTCTCCCAACTCTGAACTCTTCGGGTCGTCCCGGGCATGTTTGCCGTGGGCCTCTGTTCAATGCCTATCTTGCTCGTCCTTGAGCTCCTTTCGCTGCTCTTCCTTTTTGATTATCTCCCGTTTTTTTTTTCCTCGCAGTTCCTCTTGCTTTCTGCCGGCAGTTCCTGGCTCTTTGGTCCGTCATTCTCCGGCATATGTCGGGATTTAGTGCATGTGTTCGGTTTTTGACCAGATTGGAAATGATGGCTGGTTGCGGCTCAGGCAGCTGGGATGCGAGAAGGGTGCCACGATTGGTTTTCGCGCACTGAACGAGCGCCCGTGAGATGCAGTTCTTGTCATTGCTCCCCACGACGCGGGGCGCACACTGTAGGCAGCAAGCAGGACGGATACACATGCTCCTTCTGCATAGCTCCTTTTGCTTTGATTAACCTGGACCCTCGGGAGCTGGGTAGTTGGTTACTAACCAATGGCGGCCAATGAGCACTCGCTCCTCTCGCCAAATCTTTGGGGTTCATGTTCGCAAATCCTTCGCCCAATCGTTCAGTGGCACTTTCGTTCCGCTTTGTGCCGCTTAGGGTTGTTTTGTCAATGTGGGTATGCATTTTAATTAGGGACCCTTTGGTGGACATCATTGAGGTGCGGATTTACGTCCACCAACCACTTTTCACAGAGTTCCCTATTAAAATTCACAGCCATGCAGAGAAGCACAGTGACAGTATTTTTCTTCTCCACCTTAGAATTCTTTGGTTCTCTACTTTGCCTCAGTCGCAACGCAAAATTCGCCGCGCCAGGAACACCCGTTGAAGCCTTTCAAGGAGGAGCCGGGCTTCTGGTCCCAGTGGTGGCCTCTTCTGCTGGCCGTCGCCATTGTGGCTTGACAAACACAAAGCGACAGGCTTCGGGACCCGCGAATATATCACGAACAAATCCCATGCATATAGAGAGAACAGCTATCCCAACTTGTACTCTTCCTGGCCAAATAGATAAAACAAGACCCAAAAAAAGAACATCGTAACTTCATTCGGTACTGTGCATGTGTGGTTTTGTTTGTTCCCTGCGTATTGTTGGTGTCAGATCTTACGAGTCACTGCTGTCTTACGGTGCAATCGACCGACTCGAGAAAAGCGGAGAGTTTCTGCCTGGAAGAGCATGGCAACTTCAAAGTGGGCTTTCTGCACACTAGCAATTTGCGATTCGTCCAAGTGGATCAAGCTTGGGAAGAAGATCGGTTTGGCATCCTTACTGTTTCTCCTTTGCCGGGCCTCGCAGACATGTTTGGGACATTTCTATCGGCCCAATTTGCTACACCACAATCGCCTCAAGTCCACCCCGGAGTTGAGGTTTCCTGTTGGCCCGGCACCACGGGTCCAGCAAATACAAAACTTGAAACACCATTCGCATACTTCATTTGGTTGCGTGATGTTGCGTAGAGGATTGGGACCAACAAGCAAAGTCAAGCGGGCAGAAGCGTTTGTGTTTTTAGTTCGTTCGTTTGTTTGCTTGTTTGTTTGTCTGATTGTGTGCCTGCTTGTTTGTTTGTGGCTCCGTTTACCTGCAAACGCGTGCTTTTCCGCGCACATTCCCCATTGGCACGGCCACAAAATGCGCATGTCGTATGGACATTCAAGGTGTTCCAGCACGTCGAGTATCTCACCGCGCTTTCCTGAATGGCACGGCCGCGAAATGCGCATTTTCAGCGTAAACTTAGAATCAACATCCTTGCGCCAACAAAAAATGTGTGTCAAGCAGCGAACTTTCTCAGCCCCTGCATCCATGTCTGCCAGACGGTAAGCACACCAACTCACGCGCAGCTGCTCAGCCCTGCATCCAGCACCTGAGCTCGCGTACCCCGCCCCGCTCAGCCAGACGGTACGCACACACGCTCGCGCGCCCGCATGGCTTGCGTGAGGGCTGCAAAAGGGCAGCGCCTCAGTTTGCATGTCTTTTTGAACAAAACCCCCAGCCCCTCTCAAAAACTAGTCTTGACAAACCCTGAGAAAAAGCAGTGAATTTGTTTGGCTGCTTGGGCAAACCGCGATCTTTGAGAAATACCCATGCATTTCAAGGTCTCCTCAGAAACCAAAACAAGGGGAGTTGTATTCGTGTGTTTACAGGTTGAGGGGACATGGTTTGTTTGTTTGTTTGTTTGCTTGTTTGTTTGTTTGTTGGGCTGGTTGTTTGTTTGTTGGTTATGTCATCGTCGGCGCATTTGTGCGTGAGTGTTTGTTTCTTTGTTTCTGCGCTTGCTTGCTTTCTTTCTTGCTCGGTTGCGTGGTTCCCTCCTGGGTTGGCTGGCTGGCTGGCTGGTTGGCTGGCTGGTTGGTGTTTGTCTGTTTGGTTGGAAATTGTTTGTTTGTTTGATTGATTGTTTGCTTGTGCTTGTTTGTTTGTTTGTTTGTTTGTTTGTTTGTTTGTTTGTTTGTTTGGTTCGGTTTGGTTTGGTTTGGTTTGGTTTTGTGTGTTTGTTTGTTTGTTTGTTTGTTTGTTTGTGTGTTTGTCTGTGTGTGTGTGTGTTTTAGTGTTGTTGTTTTCGATCTTGTTTGTTTGTTTTCTTCGTTTGTGTTTGTCTGTATTTTTGCGCTGCTGGTTTTGGCACCGCCCCCAGCGCTGAATGTCCGGATGGCTCTAGAAATGCACAGGCCCGATGCCGAGGACACCAGCCGTTTAATCTTTCAATTAGGAGTTGAGTCGCGGGGCCTCTACACATGTTTGACTTATCCTGTAGTCTTCTTCAGTTTGGCGATATTTGATACATTCCCATCACATTCGGCCCATTAAATTGTGGTTTCCTTTGTGGTTTCTCTCTACGACAGCTTGAAAAGCCCAGCAAGAATTCCAAGAGGGGCGTTAGCCTCTCCCGAGGCTGCCTGCATCGCAGGCGGGCTGAAGACCTGCCGCTTCGATGAAAGCTTGGGAGAACCACCGGCCCAAGTGCAGGGGTTCTCCATCAGTAATGTTGACCCATATGAATAAACTGGGGTTGATTAATTAACATGGGGTAAACATGATGTTTCCCTTTGAGCTGGTTCACTACCTTCCAGCTGCCACTAACTTGTCTTCGTAAGGCGAGGTGTAGTTCTCTTCCGTGTCCGGGGGCGTGCTGTGTTTGCAGTAGGACCTGCGCACCCCTTGAACCCACAAGTTGTTCGTGGCGTTCCACTGAAAGTTGCTATTCCTGTTTCCCAGACGGGCTGCTCCCTTACTTAGGATGTAAACGCAAAGCAAAGATAGAATGCGGGTCGCATTGATCAGTGCTTTGGATGAATGCTCCTTTCTTGGACCTGGTTGTGGGAAAGCTACTAAAGGTCTCTTCTCCATTCATTTTTACCGGTCTTTCCCAATGCGTCATGTTTTTTTTTCTTCTTTTTTCTTTCTTTTCGAAAGAATCATGACAACGTATTCCCGGGTGGGTGGGCAAAAGTTTTCTGCAAGAGTCGGATTGTTGGCAGCCAGGTCGAAAGTCCATGGGGGTTCCGCAAATTGCCCCACATGGGCGTCTCAAAATAGTATTAATGTGTGGGTCGTTCACTTGCAATCTTTGGAATCAACTAGCACTGGAATCCCTTGACTTGTCAAGGTCTTTTCATGGAGCCGTTTTGCATCATCCGCCGGCAGCCTTGCTGCTTCTGGTGAGACACTCGTTTGTGGAATCTACTAGTTTTATCGTCAAAGACACGTGTGCCTGTGTGTATACATGCAAACAGCGGCAAACCCGGTAAACGTATATGAAGATGTCGGTTTTTCAAGGAGCCACCGGTAGTTTAGCCGGGCACATGTGCTTGCTTGAGTCGGAGCCAGGCTTCATGTTCATGCACTACCAAGCGAATCAGTCAGACAAGTACTCGAGTGTGTCGAAGAAGGACAAGCGTCCGGCGCTAAGGGGCTAGGTCATCAGCCCTTTTCATGGAACCAGCGGGTATATGTTCATATAATTATCTGTTTGTATACATATATATATATATATAGAGGTATGCATACACATATATGCATATATGTGTAATATATGCACTGTATACGTGTAGCATGTAACTACGTGATACGTGTAAGTTGCAGTAATTATGCAACAAGCAATATGTAATGATTATGTAACATGTAGCGTGTCACATGTGCGTGTGTGTGTGTGTGTGTGCTTTGGTGTGGGTGTCTGTGTGTGTGTGTGCGCGCGCGCGTGTGTAAGCAAGCAATATGAGTAACGGAAAGCGACGAGTATCACAATGCTTTCACTTGGGATTCCCAAGGAACACATCCCTGCTTGGAAGTGGCTCTTCCTGATCCAAAGCAACCCGGCATTATTCACTTTCAAGAGAACAAAAGTATATATATATATATATAGCGTCTAGCAGAAACTCGGGGTCTAGTAATCAACCATGAGTGTATCAACAAAACGGGCTCATACATGAACCCAGCAGCACTGAGTTTGCATAGTTGTTTGCACCTTTTCCCCAAGCTTCTAGAGAAATCAACAAGTGGCAGCCCCCAAAAGGACTCTATATAAAAAGCTTGGCGCTATCTACCGAGGGCCTTCCTGGGGACCTTAAGCGTAGGACAACCCAGTCCCAGCCACTCGCCAGCCGTGCCTCTCCCAGCCTCCGGGGGTACCGAGAATTGCTTGAGGTTTGGTCATGGACGGCCGGGGTGTGTCGCAAGACTCAGAGATGATGCTCAAAGACTTTGGCACGGAGCGCCTCGGAGCGTCGGAGGGGGTTTCCGTGGGGTTTGTCTTGGTTTCTCACTGATCTGAAACCTAGTTGGTTTCATGGGAAGTTCGTTTCTTAGTTGGTTCTTTGTGCTTAGCAGATTTCTTACTTGTTCTTCTTTGGGGGGTGAGGGGGGGTTTCTTCCCTTCAGGTTTTCCCGGAACCTGCAGCCAAGGAGCTCCCAAGGCTCATACCAGCCCTCCTACCAGCAGAGCTCTATGCCTCCGCCGCCGCCGCCGGCCTACTCCGGGGGCTACTCAGGCAGCACAGGCAGGCGGTTCGCAGTGGGTCACACCAACCTCGAGAAACAGATGTCAATGCGCGTCAACTCTTCAATGATACAAGGACAAGTGTTGAGTGGCACGCTGGCTTTAGACCTCGCGAAACCAGCTTGAAGTGAGCATCTTGTCTACTGAATGGGCGACCTCAGACATGCAAGCTCCCGGGTGGCCCGGCTTGGTCGTGAACCCTGCCACTGGCTTCTGCGAAAGGAACCTGTGGAGGTGCCCCAAAGCAAAACGTAGGAAGAGGTCTGTCTCAGTGCCTTTTTCTTGCTGGTTCTCAGCAGGGAAGGAGGGGATGACCCCGACTTAACCCATCCCTATGGCTTCCTTTAAGGGCATCCCTAGGTTGATTCCCAACACCTGGAAGGTCATTCCTTTCTGAGCACCAGCAAGACGACTGTGCCTTTGTGGAAGTGATTGCCCTTGACTGCTCCAGCGCACTTGCAATGTGCGGGCCAGGCATGCCGACTCCGATGTGTCTCGGAAAAACTGGCAAGGGCTTATACATTCCCTTCGGTGGTGAGGCCAAGGGCTGCTGTCCCTTTCGGTTGAAAAAAAGAAAAATATCAACTGGGGCAAGTATTTACAAGATCGGCGTTCTGAGTAAAACTCAATGGTTTCTTTTCATGTGGTATCCCGGCCATAGGGTATTTTGCCCTTGTTGCCACTGCGCAACCTGAGTTTTGAATTTAATATCTCCAGTGCGATAGTTTCAAACAAAGCCATTATCAGTGATCAGTCTATCAGTAAAAGTGTGGGACGGATGAGCGATGTCTTTCGAAGCTGGCAACCAAACATGTAGACTCCAGCAGTGCTGTATAGCTTGGGTTTCATGATCCACAATGCCCCTTCTCCAAATCAACAGGCTGATCTCATGTTTCTAGCTGCCGATCATGCCAAGAACATTGTTTCTAGCCACCGTAATAATGGGCTACCTGAGTCGTTTTTGCTGCTGAGCTCAAGAACAGAGCCTCATGCGCTTGGTTGGCTGTGGGACATACATCGAGTTAGCATGAGGCTGCATGAACATGTATCCAAGCGTGTGAAACGCTGTAAATGAACTAATTAAAGATTTCCTTTTCCTCTTGGCCGCTGGACAAACGGGTTGTTCGGAGATATCAACTCAGACTAGGACTGCCTCTGAACAATGGCTGGACCTAAATCTTTGTGTAAATGGTGTGTTCACAAAAAGGTTGCCTATCAAATATTCACAGATGGGGCGCCTCAGACTTTGTGGCGTGAGCATCGTAAGACGTTCACAGTATGTGCTCCTCCTCGAGGCCATACCGGTCCCAGCCGGGCTACAACTACGCACCTTGGATCGAGGTTTTTGGGGTGCGCAAAGGCGGGCCACCTTGCTCTAACGTTGGCCCCGGAGTATGAACAAACTTGAGAAACTCATAGCCAAAAGCAACAGATTTCCTTGGGACGCTCCTATTAACCAGGCGTTTATTCCTGGGTGCCCTTTGAGAAGCATGGAGAATCAGGTAAAAATGGGACCCTCTGGGATGGTTTATCCACCAAGTCAGACCCAAAAGCCATGGCGTGTCTTTGAGAGGGGACCGGGGATGTTGTTTAAAGGGGCAAAGGGAACCACGTAATAAAAGTTTGACTTGCAGACGAGCCCATGAGCCATGCCTGTATGTTAAGGGCTCTTTCTCAGGTTCTTGACCTACATTCTATCAAGCCTTCAAGCTATAGTGTATTGAGACGAAAAGTCTGCTTGGCATCGCAGATCGTGTTTTTGCCTGTTTCTGCAAGCAGATTGATCTTGTTCCAGGCCTTGCCCGCCAGTTGTGGTTCATAGGTCCAACTTCCAGGAACCGAGCAGGGCAATGGTCTTAGACAGCAAAGCCACGGTATTAATTTCGCACTTGCTTGTTGACTCTTGCGTAGTCTATTCTTGCCCCTTGCCACGAACTATCGCAGTCATTTGACCTCGTGCCATCTCGTTTCGTATGGTTTTCTGCGCCTGCTTATGAATCTATTGCTTGTGAAAGTGGGACCACATTCCTGAGCACACACACACGTATTGCGTTAAATTGGGCATGGCGTCACTTGCCAGATTCTTTAGAGTTGAATCCACTAGTCATTGCACCAAGGATAACAGACTCCCTATCAGTTTCAAGGTTTTTGTCAATAGGCCATCTTGCACGAAGCTTCCATGAGGTGAGGCTGTGTCACATGCACTTGCCAGCTGAACAAACAACGTGAATGATGCACGTCCCTAGTCTGGGCATTGACTTTCCTGAATTGGACAGAATCCTATGGGCTCACTTGAAGCGCTCAGAAGCCGGCCAAGGAGAACAGATATGGAAGCAGGTACAGGTACTATGGATGCTTGCATGAGTTTTCTGGATTTGTTTGCTTTAGCTGGGTTTGGCTCAAAATTCAAAAGCTAGGGTTACGCAGGTGATGGTCATGGTTCCATGTACCACGGTGCCATTTTGGTAAATTATTTTTGAGCCACAGACCGATGGTGATGTTGTTTGTTTAGTTTATCCACCTTCCCCCCCAACAAGCAACTGAACGTGGCCAGTTGCTGCAAAGGCGCGCCTCGTACATGAAACCCTCCGTGACGGCGGGATATGTACGAGTTTGTTGTTCCCTCCGGGGAGGTGTCGCCGCGCGCTTCTTCAGATGTTTTCCCCCCTGGTGTGGCTCACGCCGCGATTTCGACGACCTGCGATGGAAATCGGACACACCCGTTCAATGGCGCTCAAGTGCAGCGAAACGGTAAGAACACCCGTTCAAGTGCACCCGCACCGCACTGTATTCCTGCCAGCCAAATGGTAAGAACACCTGTTCAGGTGCACCCTGTATCTATGCCAGCCAAATGGTAACAACACCTGTTCAAGTGCGCCCGCACCGCACTGCATTCCTGCTGGCCAAATGGTAGGAACACCCGCCCAAGTGCACCCACACCGCACTGTATCCATGCCAGCCAACTGGTAAGAACACCCGTTCTAGTGCACCCGCGCAGGAACACCCGTTCGCGCAGCGCTGTTTCCCTGCCAGCCAAATGGGAAGACAAGTGCGCCCGGACAGCACTGTATCCATGCCAGCCAATTGGTAAGAACACCCGTTCAAGCGCACCCGCGCAGCGCTGTATCCCTGCCAGCCAAATGGGAAGACAAGTGCACCCGGACAGCACTGTATCCATGCCAGCCAAATGGTAAGAACACCCGTTCAAGTGCACCCGCACAGCGCTGTATCCATGCCAGCGAAGTGGTAGGAACACCTGTTCAAGTGCACCCGGACAGCACTGTATCCTGCCAGCCAAATGGTAAGAACATCCGTGCAAGCGCACCCGGGCAGCACTGTATCCATGCCAGCCAAATTTCAAGCGCACCCGCAGCGCTGCACCCTTGCCAGCCAAATGGTAAGAACACCCGCTGCAGTGCACCCGCGCAGCACTGTATCCAAGCCAGCCAAATAGTAGAAACACGTGTTCAAGTGCACCCGCGCAGCACTGTATCCATGCCAGCCAATTGGTAAGAACACCCGTTCAAGCGCACCCGCGCAGCGCTGTATCCCTGCCAGCCAAATGGGAAGACAAGTGCAACCGGACAGCACTGTATCCATGCCAGCCAATTGGTAAGAACACCCGTTCAAGCGCACCCGCAGCGCTGCATCCCTGCCAGCCAAATGGTAAGAATACCCGTTCAAGTGCACCCGCGAATGGTAAGAACACCCGCTGAAGTGCACCCGCGCAGTACTGTATCCATGCCAGCCGAATGCTAAGAGCACCCGTTCAAGTGCACCCTCACAGCGCTGTTTCCCGTGGTAGGAACACCCGTTCAAGTGCACCCGCACAGCGCTGTTTCCCTGCCAGCCAAATGGTAAGAACACCGGACAGGACTGTATCCCTGCCAACCAAATTGTAAGAACAAAGCTCTGGCCTGAAGCAGCGCGCGGCACCCAATCGGAGCGTTGTTGTTTGACCATCACATCTCTACATACATGTTGTCCGTCACATGCATGAAACGAGATCCCAGAAAGTTCAACAGGAGTTGGTACGCATGCATATGCTGCCTGCAATTACTTGTAGAAGCCATCCGCTCCCGGGGGCCTTGCCCCAAATTGCGCATGCTGTAATTAGAGCATAGTCTACGCAATTGCCCCAACCTGCAGAAGTCACGGATGTGAATTCATCAATGCCCCCCAAATCTATGGGCCCAGAAGCGCAAAAGATGTACAAGTTCCTCCCCCACCCTCCGCTGGGCTGCGCATTTTGTTCTGAGGCTTGAGGCTCGCGTGACGCGTGAGACACGCGCCCGCGCGGAGATGGGGTCGTTGGCTGGAAGATGGCCAAGACCGGCGCCTCGAAACGGGGCAGACTGATTTATCTGGGAGCCTTGTTGTATCGGTATGTTGAAAGAAAGTGGCTCCAGCATGAAACATTAATTAAAATGTATTTAGGCTTGGATACGTGTTGCAAGTGTTGCTTACATGTAGTGCTACCATTCTATGTGTGTGCATATGTGTGTGTGTGTGGATTTGTATGTGCTATCCATCGATACAACATATATACATAATACATGTATGCCTATATTAACATATATATATACATATACACATAGTATTGGTATGTACACATATTCGACAAGATATCATGCGTAAAGTTTCGCATTTGGTTGCACCTCCGAACATGTGGCTATGCCTCAGAATTAGCATGCCAGCGGTGTTTTGCAGACGTCGCCCCCTTCATGTGGTTGCCCATCCAGCAGGACATGTGTCACGTTCCACCAGTACGCTGTCAGATCCATGTTGTGACAAAGCTTCACTCGTTGTCAGATTCGTCCCATCTCAGGGATACAAGTGCAGCACCTGGAGCGACACACTAACTGCAGGAATGCATTGGTTATGGGCAAACCTTGAAATGGGCTCATCAATCAATCAGGCGCGAATTACAGTTGTTTTCCATTGCCAGGGTTGGCAAGACGGGCTCCCCACAAGGACGTTTTTGTAGAAGGTATAGATCGCCTAGAAGACAAACTTGGACTCTTTGAGGATTACGATTCAGTCAGGAGCTGGAGTTGCATATGGTCGAGTCACAAGTCGGTCTCATGCTAGTTCCAGTGTTGCGACCCAATGCAACCCTTGAGCAGAGTTGGAATGGAACTTTTGCGCTCGGCACAGGCCGGAGCTTGTAGATAGTTGGTCTTTCGGGCCAAGGTATCACTATGCCACAGGCAGCAGGTCTAGCCTGAACCGAAGAAGATCAGAAAGATTGCCAAGGCTTCATGCTAAGACCCGCCCTTCAGGTCCGGTTGCAAACAGATTGCCGCTGTTTTGCCAAAGCGAACTGCCATCATGGGCTGCAACTGAAGAATTTCAGTGCAACGTGCCGTTTGGACGGGGAAGGGTCCTGAGGAGTGCCAATGTGATTAGTTGGTATTGGGGTTCGCTGTGGGCGGACTCCATGTTCTTCATCTGAGCGTAGCGATGCGGAGGTGGGCAAGTTACAGGCACGCTTATGATTGTTGCTTGCAGTTTTGGGGCCTGATGCTTGCAGACGAAAGGCATGACCCTGGCCCTTGGGCTAAGGCTAGGATGCATGTCTCATGCTACAGGCATCAATCGGAGATTGCGAGGTTCTCACTCTAACCATGTCTTGCATTTTCGCGATCCCATGCACACGTTTCGCGTGCCCACCTCGCCTGCTGCCTGAGATTTGACCGGCCCCAACCGACAGGGCCGCCAGCCAATGCAATGGCCGAAGTGGTAAAATCCGATCTTTTCCGGCGCTGCACTTTTCGCGGTCGTCGTTTTATTGGAGCGAAAGTAGCAGAATGCGCCTCACAAGTTGAATTTTGGTATGACTCCAATCGGTTTCCCACGGGATCCAATTTCTATCTGTGTTTCTTGATTCTATCGATGATTTGGGCCGAAACAATTGATGGAATCTATCATTTAGTCCCCAGCCGCCGCCCCTCCCTCAACATGGGGCCTAGGCTTCCATGCAGGTGGAAGGAAGGATCTGACAGACTGCCTCGGCAAGAAGTGGATCTATCGACAGCCAGGATCACGCGGAAGCAAGTGGATGGGGCGACATCTTCACTTGTATCAACAAATGAGTGGAACTGATTTGTATAGAATCAATAACGCAGCAATGCACCTTCAGATTCTAGGCTGGCTTCGGACCCAAACAGCCCCTGACTGCCTCACCCTTGCCTCTGCTGTTTGCTCTCCTGCTCAAGTTGAATTCCTTTTGGTGATGATTTAGGCAACCTACCGGCCCCTCTTGGCAGGTGAAGGAGATCCTGGAGGCATTGGAACGGACAGGATCTTTGGAGCTTTGGATTTTGGGTCCCAGCACCCGTTTCGACTGCAGTTTCGCTTTGGCTGGGGACGGGGTCCCTCCAAATTTTAATGGCCCCAGTTTCATATGGTTTCACGTAAAATCACCCCAAGAGAGGTTGACTAGTTTTGACACATTCCCCAATGTGCAATTGAGGTGATTGTCCGTTCGCTCCTGTGTCCGTCTCTCCGTTTGTCCATCAATACATCCATACATCAATCCATTCATCCATCCATCCATCCATCCGTCCGTCCGTCCATCCATCTATCCATCTTGCAGGGGATCTAAGTCTGGTCAATATGGTATAAGACTCTTGCCACAAGTTTTCTAGTCTTCCCATTGGTGTTGCTGTAGTCTTCCATAATTCTCATAGTTTTGCCGCAGTCATTTCGTCCGTGGGCTTCGTGTAGTTGTTGTGTAGTCTTCCCGCAGTCTGAAACCCTGCAAACCGAGCAGGAGGAACATGAAGAAAACACTCATGACATTCATAGGCTAAGAGCACTTTGTCACAGGCCTGTTCATTTTCACCACAAGCGGCCGCCTTATTCTGCTTGCTGATCCTTCTCAATTTTGATCCTTCTCCAGCCAATTGGCACTTTTGACTTCGGTTGCGGCCGAATTCAACCCCACAGGTTCCCGTTGTGATGTCTTATTTCAGAAAAAGAGTAATTAAGACACACCATCGGGTGTGTCCAAGCCCGGCACCTGGGTATGATTCGGGGATGCCCGCGAGGCGCCCGACCGCGCAGCACCAAGCACCTCGGGGTCGGCCGCAAAGCCAGAGGAATGTCATGGGAGGGAACCCTTTTTGGGGGGTGGCAGTCATGTGGGCGTGTTTTTTGTTTAGTTCTTTTCTCGATGGTGCACGTTTCGTTCTTTTTTTGAGGGTGCATTTTTAGAGGGCGATTTTTTGTTTTTCGAGGGTGCACTTTTCAGGGAGCAACAAGGACGCCCATAGCCACAAACCCATGGAGCATGCCCCTGGCTGGTAGGATTGAACACAATACATGTCGGGGCCTGAACCAGGGTAAAGCGCTGACTGGTTCGCGGTTTTTCAATCATAGACCTTAGCCTTCGTCAAATAATCTCAATGGTTGGCTGACATTGACAACCACCTAATGCTTTGGTTGTTTGCATTATTCGAGGAAGCACCTCCAACTCTTCCGCGCCGGCTGAGGTTTCGTGATCGTGTTAGTTTGGTTTCGGCTGGTGCTTGGATGGTTCAGGGTTTCCTCAGGGGCACTTGTTGCATTCAGGCGAAAGTGTTCGAGATTCTCACAGGACTTCCCCATGTCTCGTTTTGGAACCTCCAAAAGTGGCAGTTTTAACGGAAATCACCAGTAATTTGCAACTTTGGAGGGGGAAATCCAATAACCCCTGACTTGCTGATGCTTTCGATTCAAAAGCTTCATGCGCATCTTTTGTTGTGGGCATTTTGCTTCTTGTAGCCTGCATGCGCACGGTACTCTGGTTTGCGGCGACATTTGCATGTGTCCTGATGGCGTCATTGGAAGCGCTGCAGGTGATAGCAGGTTAAAACAAACGACTAACTTTGGATCTAATGCGTTTCAATTTGTTGATGCTTGTCTGCATGCAACCACCACCGCTGCTGCTGTTGCCGCTGCTTTGCTGCGTGTATGTCCGTGTTTGCTTCCTTGCGCCAAGTTAACAATTGTTCAGCACCTTTTGTCCTTTTGCTGTGGTGGTTCCGCACTAAGAGTGAACCAGTTGCTGAGTGGAGTCTCCAGGAACGCAACTCTTCGCCGTGCCGAACACCTGAGAAGTGCCGACCCCAGCTCATGATCTTGTGACCCGAGTTTTCTGGCAGTGTGTTTGGATCGGGTTCCAGAAGAACACCAGACTGGCCCCAGCAGCATCCTTGGCCCCCGCATGGGCAATTGTTGATTATCGCCTTAATAGCAACAGTGTAATTTTATTCGCATGTCCATCATTAACTTTGTCACGATGGGCATCATGTCAGCAATTTGTATATTATAATATATTATTATTATTATATATATATATATATATTGTATTATACATAGATATTATGGAGAGAGACATGTGTAGCTAGCTGTCGTGAAGGTCATGGCTCAGCTTTGCTGATTGCCACCTGACCTGCACATGGTCACTTGCCACAGCAGGGCGCACGAAATGTTGTTGGAGGCGTGTTGATATTAGGCCGTGGTGGTTTTGCAGGTTTCGGCGCTTTCTTGGGGCTGCGGTGGGGGGGGGGATGGTAGCGACATCGTTCACGAGCTGCATGGCCGCTGCCCTAGCTGCTCAGCGGCATGGACACCTCTTCTTGCGCTGCTTTTGCTCTTTCTCTTGTTCTTTTGCTGAGGCTTGCTGGCTGTGCCCTCCCACACGTGCTCGCTGCTTCATGTTGCTTGGCTTGCTGACCCCTTGTACATGGACTTCCGCATTCACGTGCTGACTCTGAATTGGCACGGACCCTGTGACTGCCTTTGTTCGTTCTACCTCCTCCTTGTCCTGCCGACGGCAACAACTTTGCCTTGTCTCCTTCAATGTGAAGCATGACAAGACTTCCCCAGAATTAGCTCCCCTTTTTGCTTTTTTGCTTTTTTGGGGTTTCCTTTGTTTTCCACTAACCAGGCAAAAAAATATATTTTTGCTGGGATCCTGATTCCAGCCAAGAAGAATGAGTGGACACGTTCCGTGAAGCGCAGGAAGGTTCCCAAGTGCGTTGTCACAGGAACTCAGTGCATAGACCGCTCCTCGCAATCTTTTTAGAAGTGTTTGCGCAGTTCTGCGAATAGCAAAGCAGGGCGTGAAGAAACGCATTGAACGATGACTGTGATCTTATTTAAGAGTTGGCGCGCATCGCGTGAAGGGTCTCAGCTTTTCACAAACTACTTTTCGAAAGCACTTCTTGAACCCGAAGGCATAAACCACTGCAAAAGCCATTGCATGCGTAGTGTCGGAGGCACGAAACCCTGGTGTTTTTTCCCTTTTTCAAGACGATGCGCGCAGTCTTTACTGCGAAGCGCCGTGGATGAGGATCTCGCCGAGGTGCAACAATGGCCGTAGCACGGCCTTTTATGGGTATACCCTGAAGATGTGCGTTGAACCCGGTCAAGCTGTTTGTTCAATGAAACCAGAAGCTATTGATCAGGCTCTCATTTACCATATAGTCAGTATTGCGCGTTGGGCTATTCCATCAAGTAGTCCAACACACAAGCCGAATAACCATCCATTTGGAATTTATCCAATTGTTCACCAACGAACAAAACCGAATAGTTCGCCAACATATCCATCACTTGGTGGAACTTTGTGGTGTTCTAGGTTGCCGCCGCAGCCTGCGGTTCCTGCCTCAGAGCGCCTTGCGCGTGCGAGCATGAGCTGGCTGCCTGACACACACACACACACACACACACACACACACACACACACACACACACCAACGCACGCACACACCAACGCACGCACGCACGCACGCACGCACGCACGCACGCACGCACGCACACACACACACACACCAACGCACGCACACACCAACGCACGCACGCACGCACGCACGCACGCACGCACGCACGCACGCACGCACGCACGCACGCACGCACGCACGCACGCACGCACGCACGCACGCACGCACGCACGCACGCACGCACGCACGCACGCACACACACACACACACACACACACACACACACACACACACACACACACACACACACACACACACACACACACACACACACACACACACACACACACACACACACACACACACACACACACACACACACACACACACACACACACACACACACACACACACACACACACACACACACACACACACACACACACACACACCAACGCACGCACGCACGCACGCACGCACGCACGCACGCACGCACGCACGCACGCACGCACACCACCCACCCACGCACGCACGCACGCACGCACGCACGCACGCAGGCATACATACATACATACATACATA